AAGTCAGCAAAATCTACAGCTTTAGAATCAACCGGTTGTATTTTTAATAGTTCAAATGAAAAAAAATCACCAACTTCTTGGACTCTAAAATATATAATAGTTGCCAACTTTTTACATTCAACCCATATTCTTTAGCCACCACGATTGTCCTAGGTGAAACACTGAAACCGAAATCCTTTATCAATGTTTCAGGTCAAATTTTCTGAATTTCCTTGTGAATAAAAACTTCTAAGTAACTCTTATAAACATAAATTAAATTAATCTAAAATTCTTGGCACACTTTTTTAATAAAATCCATCCATTTAYATGATTTATATTATTATCGAAACACCATATTAGAGCCCAGGCCCCTTTATAATTAATATACCTTGGAGAACCCATAAAACGAAATAAAATTCTACAACCTAACCAATATARTAGGACGCAGGTCATGTACACCTTTTTTACAGAACGCAATTAAGGTGCCCCGAAGCAGAAACCCCCTTAGGTTCTCTGGCGACCAACTGTAGCAAACAACTGTAATATATGGCAATCAAACACRTCACACTAGAATGCCCCAAATAACAACTCTAGACAAATTTTTATAAACCCATCAACGGCTGCGGCACTTGGCAAAGAGAACTCCAAAAATGTATAAAAATTTTTCACAAACATACAGGCTTAGCAAAATTACACTTGAACATAATATATTTCACATATTCCCTCTAATGTTAAACATAGTGTTTCCCTACACCCCATACTCCATAGTTTTATTAAGACCAATACTTTTTAATTATTACTGGCTAATGATCTCAGAAGTCAGAGGTTGAAACCTTATTAACCTAATAAAAAAAAACAAATCTGTAGTAACGTAGTATTATACCAGGRACGGCCAAACGGTCGATCGTGGACAATTTCAAAGTTGATCATGTTAGAATTTATTTTTTGGAGACACGCGCACGAATTATTATCGAATTGTCAATAAGTTTTATCTATTTAATTTTAATCTGGTTTCGTGTRTCAAATATTTAGTGTATAATAATTATACCAACTTATACTTGCCAAATCGAAGACGACAACGTTTCTTAGTCTTTTATGTTTTCCACATTGTTTGGAATTGYCMATTGACAATGYAAACAACAAAGATATGGAAACAATGATGAAAATACATTTTAGAACCGATATTTGAAAAATAAAAAAATGTTTTTGTACCTACCTAAAAATTAGAAAATTTATTATTGTAATTTATAAATGCTCATCTATTTGTATAAAAATACATAAATTTGTACCTATTATCCATCAGACGACCTAATATTAACGTTATAGATACCTATATAACTCTCATTGATAATATACTTTAATACTATTACCTATGTATTAAGAGTATTTATATTTTATTTAATAAAACGATATTTATGAGTAAAATATGTAATTATGTACCATAAAAATGTATTTATAAACTGTGCACTGTGATGTAAGTATTAAAAGTACTTATATTTAAATGCTATTCACACCATTTTTTACACGAACAAAAAAAACCTTTTGAACATTGTGCGATATGAATAAAACGTCAAAGTCGTCAATACGTTTATATATTTTGAAATTTATTGTATAATGTGTACCTATACTGACATACTGTGGTCCGTGACTTATACACATATAATCGTGATTTGTGAATTACACATTCACAATATGTATTTACTTTGTAGGTAGTAGGTACGCTTTCAACAGTACCTATTGTAAATGTATACAAATCATCGCAAAATGTATAGCTCAGGGTTTGTACCTACCAAACATATTTTTTTAGAACCTATACTTACATATGTATAATATTATATCCACGCATACAGTGGAGTTATTTTCCAACACAATGTAATAAAATTATTGTCCTCGATTCGAATACAATTACGTATCTATTGGTATATTATTTATCGTGATTGGAGCAATATTATTAAAATGTTTAATGTAGATAATATAATAAGTAGGTACCTATAATGCAGTCTTTCCATTACGTAAATTAAGTCGATTATCATGTCCSACGGCGATGCGTCATATTATAATATTATCGTCACATATGTGCGTTTAAAAAAAATACAAAACCGTACTCGAAAACTCGGCCAAGAGGATAAACTATAATTTAATATATACGCTACAATACTAAATATACAGCAGTAAACGTGGCTTATAAGATTCGCTTTGGAAACAACATAAARTGAGTCTTRTAATCGAACGAACCTTATAGAAGAAGTGGGAAAACAAGGAACTATAATCTTAGTAGGAATTTATATTATTTATATATTATATTTAATTTTTTAGTGCATATTTCCTATTTTTAATGTATAAATTCATACTTCACGCGTGGTTGTTACCTATTTTAGTGCACTCAATTTACAGCCTTTATTAARGGTTTATACACACACGCAATACGCACATTATATATTACAAAAATTATAGGATGCAAATAATAATAATAACACAGTGAACTGCTGAACTCTCGGGTATTATAACTACCTGCTACTACCAAAATATAATTTATTATTATTATTAAGTCGTTGATCTTTTTTCATAGGTGATCGYTATCAGAAGTTACATAATATATTAATATACAGTAATTATACTTCAAAAATAGCAATAACTRTTATGAAACGAAGTGCAGCTATTGAGGTGGTAGCCGTTTATGCGTTACTGCAAGCAGCCGCGGTTTGTGCTGCAGGCGGCCAGACGATGCGACGCCGGCTGCGGGACCTGRCGCTAACCGACGAGGCCCGCCGGGCCCGGCTGGACCGTCTGAGCAGGTCCGTCAACAAGATAATCGACGAGTACCTGGGAACCAGATCAGTAATAATGTTCTCAGACGAGGTGCGTAGCAGCGAGCTGGGTCAACGGCTGCTGGTCGACATGGGCCAACCCAGGCTACTGGTGCAGTTGGCGAAGATCACCGACGCGAGGCTGCTGGCCAACGGATTTGTCGTGTACCTGCAACGTGGCCAAGCGCAGCAGCACCGGGACGGCCAGACGACTGACTACGATGGGGTGCTGGACAGATTGCCACCCAGCGACCACTCGCGGCACATGGTGCTGTGGGACGTCGTGTCGCGGCCGGGCGACCGCCTCGAACTGCACCGCATACAAATGCTGTTCGAGGCGTTCTGGCTCCATCAGCTCGTCGACGTGGCCGTCCTGGTGCCCTTGTCCACCGGCAGCATACGAGTGTATGTGTTTAACCCGTACACCGGATCCAGGTGCAACGGGGCTGGCCCACCAATCATGATCAACGTTTGGAGCAACTCGGCCGACAAGTTCATCAAGCCCGACAAAGTGTTCGGCATGGAGAACAAGTTAAAAGACTTGCACAAGTATAATGATAATATTATTAAATGACAGATATAGGTACCTATAAATTATGTATTAGGTACTAGCGTACTGCCAATTATAGTAACACAGTCTCGATAACTCGAATCTCGAGGGTAATAAAAATAAATCCTATTTGGATACCTACGTATTTTTTGAGATACCTATATAGGTATATCCCTTGGGCACAATTATTAGTATAATAGTATAAATTACATACTTCGAGAGGCAAGAAAAAAAAAATTTAGTTATTGCAGTTTTTCTAATTATTRCGGACATAAACCTACAAACGATACACCTTTATATAGGTGAGTATTATTATTGGTGCGTGGTGACCACATTAAATTGGATTCCAAATTTTGGTATTTATAAAGTCTACTCTTAATGAATTTTGCTCAAAAATGTATATTTGAATTTAAAAAAAACTGTAAAAGTATTAAAGTATTATTATTAATTAACAGCTATATTATGTATAGTTCAGATATTATTCGATTATTTTATTAATACCTATATTTTAATACCATCGCAGCTTTTACAAAAATTACTATTAATCAATAAATAATTGTAATGTAATATATTATGATTTTTTAACTTTTAAAAGTCTTAACAGTTATTTTTCCATAAATTTTACTTTTTTTCTGCATATTTTAGTATTTTTATTTTTTATAGCACTTATATAAATATGTTCAAAAGCATATTATTTCGCTAAGAAAAATATTTTTTGAAGCTCTAACTTAGAGGTTAACATTTTACATTTCATAGACATGCGCAGAATTATGTTTTAAGTGGAACAAAGTTTTGGATATAGAATCAATTAGTAGGTAAAACAGAAAGGAACATCTTTTAATTTTGCCCAAAATTTCAATTATTTAAGAAAAACACTATTTTTTCCACATAGGTATTTGGTATATGTTGGCGCATATTTAATATTTAGTMATTTTTTAGTGCTTATTTGATCATATTTTGGTGGTTGTGTGCTTATTGTATATTTGAGTATTTATTAGAGCTATATCATTACTTAATCATTTTACTATTTTGTGCACAAATGCAAGCATATTTGTGTATTTTTAAGAGCTAGAAGACCCTAAGCCAAACAGTAATCATAATAATAGTTGACCATATTATCTGTTTCCATATTCTATTACTTGCTAATATTGGCCTAAAATATATTTTTGTAGATTGAAAACATGGTTACGATCCAGAATAGGCCAAAATCACTTAACAGGTTT